ATTCTCAATCTGTATTTAGATCCTGAGGTTTGCTACGCAACTTTGAAAATCCTGGCAGATAAAAAAAAAAAAAACTTCCATGGCTTCATTTTGGTCATGATTTTCCACATGCATTAATGAGGGGAGAAAGAGGACATTGATGTCTGTCATAGGCACATGCTCTAACTGCCCACTCACTCAAAGGGACTCGCATGTGCCTTCCGAAACCAGGGCTCAAGGTGAAGTACCGCTGCGGTTTCAAAACTGCATTCTGCCTATCTGGATACCCAAACACGCATTTCACTGGGATTGTAGGCACGTGACAAAATGCCTTGCAGTGCAAACACTGCACAGTCATAAACATAGCATTTCAATGTATCTTTTTTCCTCTCTACAGACTTAATTACTTCAGATAGTGTTTTATGGTATGGAGTATAAAACTGTAATAAACCTTTCAGACACTACTTTAAAACACTCACTTTACCACTGGAGAGATGATTTTTTAAAACGTTAATCAATAGTTTAGTCCTTATAACAGAGGATTAAACCAGGGCTTTCCAAAGAGTGACCATCTGCAGGCCGCCAGGCCTGCTAGCAGCCTGCGAGGGGACTGCTAATGGCAGCTGTGCCCCAGGGATCCAGCTGCTGCCTAAGGCCCTGGCAGCTCCGACAAATTAAGTAACAGGCCGGAGTTCTCCCTACTGTAATTTGGAATGGAAGGGACTCCACAGCACCACAGAAGGAAGAGACGTCGGCTTTACGGAAGCTCGCTGAGGTTCACCCTTGTCTGCCACTCAACTTCCATCTCTGCACTTTCGGTTTTCCTTCTTTCCTCTCTAAGATATCTGTAAAATCTTTACTTATATTCATCATCTTTCTTCCATCCGTTCACGAAGCACCCTTGACATTCCCTCCCCTTGGGCAGGCCCACCCGGAGGTGTCAGCGCAGCAGTGATGACGCTGGACAGGTCAAGCCCTTTCCTCAAAGCAGCACTATGTTTGTATGTACCAGCAGGTCAAGATGATTGCTTAGGTAGAAATATAGTGAGTCCAATAGGTAAAAGGCACCTGAGAAACACATACAACACACGGAATGAAGTGCTTGCTATGGCCATGTGCTCTGAAAAGTGAAAGCTTGGGCAAAGCCGGCCTCAAGAAAATCCTCCCTCTCCAACTGCTGACTAGAAATTCCTCTTTTGCTATTTATGTATGTGTTTACTGGGTGCTCCCTGTCAAAACGATCAGTTAATAGGATTATCTTTTTTGTTCTAGATGTAATTAGCAGAGATAGGATCACGGGAGAGAGGAGCAGGCTGCACTGTGTGTGCAAGCTCCCACTAACCGAGCTCCTCTGGGGCATCCCTCTGCACGTCGGCTGCATGCAGGCGTTTATTTCACAGCCCTTTGGCAACAGTTCCTGATTATGAAATTTATACCTAGATGCAAGACTTGTTGCAATCAAGTAAAGCAATGTCATTCTGAAGAGACATGTTCCTTTTTCATTTTTTTTCCCATCTTCTTTTCTGCATCTTCCCTTGCCCTTTTCTGCAGAAGAGTCTGTAAAAATTAATGGAAGCAACCGCATTTGCACTTTTAAGTTAATGTTGGATTAATATTGCATTTTAAATGCACACAACTGCACTTCAGAAGCTCAAATCACTTCAAATCAACATTAATTTTTTTTTGTGTCTGCTAAAATTTTCTCTGTGCTTTCTGGATCTGTGGAGATTTCCTTTTTCCCTATAAATTTTTCAACATACTCGTAAGTTCTAATTTCTGTGGAAAAAAAAAAACAGCAATAAACTTGTAACTTGAAAGCTGAGTTACAGGACAAAGTGTGAGAATTGTGTTTGCTTGGTCTCTTAAGGGAGGGTATTCTTGCCAAAACAAACGTTTCTACCGGAGATAAGGGGCACAAGGGAGACGGAGGAGCTTCTCTTTCTCTCCTGCTCCCTTTGAACTAATCTCTTACGCAGTAAAACACAGCAATGGGGCTAAATGACCAAAAGTTTGTGAGTAAAAGCCCCAGGAATGTGCTGGGTCTCACCTGAAGGCAGCTGAGCTGAGAGGAAACCCCCGAGCTCCAGGGCCCCAGTGCCCCACTTCAGCCATGAGGATCCCAAGGAACAGACACAGCCGAGAAACTCTTGCAGGTAGTTAAAAGCTTGAGCACATTTTCAAAAACCAAGTTTTAAGCAATGTAAAACTTGCTTAGAGAGAAAATGTCTTCACGCAGCCATGCAAAGAGCACACCTCTCCTGGAAGATCAGTTTGAGAGCAGAAGAGATGCAGTTTCTGATTTCTGAGTGCAAAGGTCTAGACTTGCAACTATTTATTTATTTATTTATTTATTTAACATCCTTTACCTTCTGCAGCCACTAGCAGAATACACTGGATGACTCAAGAACTGTTTCTTTCTCTCAGAATTGAAGCTTTCACTCAAAGACAGCGTTTCTTCTCTGCAGGCTATTTACCAAGACAGACATTCCCCTTTGTGGAAAAGTACTAGGAATTTTGTGCTAGAGGTGAGCTACACCGAGGTGATGCATTTCGGCAAATCCTCTTGCCATCCTTTGCTTGCAAAATCCTTAGTGCCAACATGGAACAATCCGGCTCTCAGAGCACCATCTAGAGATCAAATGTGCAAAAGCAGGGGAAAAAAGCAGGCAAGTTTTGAACAAGGAAACAGCTTGGCATTTGTCCTCAAGCAGCAATTTGCTTCAAGTTAAAAATCATGAGACGTTCTCCAAGTCTTTTCTCAAACTCATGTGACCTAGGACCACTTGCTCGTAACACCATGAGCCCAGAAGAGTGATATAAAACAGCCAAACCAGTGTGTAACTAGTCACCTTGTACAGACTACTACAGAGGGAAAACCTGTGGCTCCAGAAATTTGTATTTTTATGGCTTGTAACATGGTAAGCCATTTCTTGCCCTTGTCTCATATTCAGAGAAGTACCAGGTTGTTTTGAGCTGAAAATTTTAACAAGTAGGATAGCTTCAAGCTATCTAGAATATTTTAGTCTAATTTGACATGTATAAAAAATAAAATAGCAGTTTTAAACAGTAAAAAGCTCAAAGAACTTGTGAAATGGGAAATGGCAAAAATTCTCTGACTTCTGCAATTTACTGCTGAGTACCCCTACCAGAAGCTGAAACGTGTATATACCCAGGCATACAGCTACAGCTGTGGCTGAGGGAGAAGCAGGGGGGCCCCTAACATCACACGTGTCCATCATAACGTGTCCAGTCATACTCTGTAGGGCACTCAGATTTATGCTGGACTGTTTTCATCCCCCTCCTCAAACTAAACCAGTAATAGTAACAGTGGGTAAGCAGATGGCAATGGTGGTCCTTCGGAAGCACTCAGGCCCTGAAGGCTTCAAGACACTTGCATGGAAGCGTTTGCTACAGTTGTTCCTACCCACTTGAAAGCACTGGAGTAGAGGGTGGTTTCCAGGAAACCGCAGTCTTTGACACTTCCCCACTCTCAGCTCCTGAAACACCAAGTTTCTCAGAACTAAGTTTTGAGGAGCACATCAAGCTCAGTTACTGTATTAGATGCCCCACAAGGAGCCATCAGTTTCCTGGCCTTTATCCACGGTAGCTTTATGAGGAGTGTTTAACTCTTCTGTAAATATTGCAAGGGGCATGCGAGTGAATACTCCTCACTGTCTTTAGCCAGTTTTATGGTGTTAAAAAGCACAAAGTTTCAGCTTTTTGTGGTGACAATAGCCCAAGGAAAAAGGGGGAAGGGAAAGGAGAAGCACATAAAGCAAAGCACTCTTACAAATTTAGCATTAGTCAGAAGCTAACTTAGCTTCTCTCTCACACCCCCAACAGATCACTTCTTCCACTGCAGTCCTAATTTTCCTCTGCAAGCCCAAGATTTGACTGCAGCCAGAAGATAAATCTTCCTTTCAGATTTAAGGAGGGGCAACATTAACTCACCTTAGAATCTCACTCCTCAGAAATTTTCTTCTGGACTGGTGATATTTAATAACCACATTTTCTCATCTCGATTAACTTGCTCTGGGGGAGTTCCACAGGCCGTTCATTTCAAAAGGCCACTGGAACATTTTGTTTACGATTTCACAACACCCAATAGGAGCTTATCTTGACAGGATAGAGCATTTCCCACAACATTACACGCCTCTGGTCTGACTTCTCCTTTTTAGATTACTTAAATGAGCAGGAGAATGGTGCAGTCTGTTGGTTTATGTATGTTACCAGGAAACCTCTCCCTTCTGGCTGGATTGACCTGTGGAAAATACTTAACATCTGCTTCTCCATTTGCAGTGTAGAGGGTTTTTCCTGAAGACCAAAGTTTTCTGCCTTAATGTATATACCAATACTTTTTAGTAGCACTTATTTTTCCTATGGTGTCCAAGTCAGCATGCAAAGATATTTACATTAACTATTATCTAAAAACTATTCATAGATAGAAGCATGGCAGCTTGCCCTGCTGCACGTATTGTCAAGCCGTGAATCTGGCCTGAATTTTATCTCCAAGTGCCCCACGTCAATCCCATGATACTAGGAAGAGATAAGAGATAATTAACTCCTCACACCTGAGAATAATTTGTACACCCACTAAAGTAGACAATTGACCTAGTTTTATATAGTTGTAATAATTCAGACTGTTTCTTCAGAGATCTGAACGTTCTGAGACTACATTAGATAACGTCCTTCAAGGACAGCAAGCCACATGCAAGAAAGACTGCAAGGCTACCAAGTAAGGTGTAAGTATAGAAAAAATGCATACAATTTAAATTCTGCAGAAATACCTAATGAATCCGACTGGGGAAAATAATGCAAGAATATTACATACAGTTGCAAGAAAAATGGCCAAATAATTTGGACAGCTTCTTGTTTCAGTATCATGAAACCGGAGTGAAACAAACTGGAAGCATGTACAACTATATTAAGCTGAAACATTATGTCTCCCTTTTTTTTTTTTTTTTTAATAATTTTGTTAGGAAATATAAACCTGAGCAACAACATACATAGAAAGACACAGGTTATCTGTATATACAATTTTATTGATAGGGTCATGTCGTTACTGAACAAGGCAACTGCGAAATACAAGGACTGGACATATACATGATAATTTTACAACTCGACAAAAAATTGGCATATGACTTATATACAAACGTGTTTATTAAAGGCTGCAACTCTACTGTATTTTGATTAAACACAGTCCTAAGCAGTTTTATAATGTAAGTATGAAGAAGCTGATCGTATAGAGGTCAAATTCTGAAATCTAAAAATAGTAATAGTTTAAAAACTTTAAAACCTTCTATGTCCATCCATTTTACAGAACATCACTACAGCTTTTCCTACTACCATATACATGAAAGATTATCAAAAATATTTTGATGGGTCTATCGCTAATCATGAATGCTTATATTTACATTAAGTTAACAAATTCCTCACCAAATACTTTATATACAAAACTCAATTTCCCCTTTGTGAAAGAGTCATTAAAAAGTTAAAAACCATAGAAATGCCAGTTAGAAATAACACATTCCAAAAATTGGACTTGTTTACAACAACTGAGAACAATTGAAAATAATTTATGAAAAGCATGTTGTTTTAGTACAAGTACTCTCACAACACTTCAGGTCCAATGCAGAGCAGCAGAATTGTGTCCTGCGAGTTCTGTGTGTGGTGTGTCCTCTTCCAACAACGCTGCAATTAAAAGAAAAAAAAAATCCCATTTAAGCAGTTTGTCACATATTCTTTGAGGAAGGCAGAAATAATTTAAGGGACTGACACTCTTTTCCCTCTTCTCAGTGTAGTGAGCACTTTTGCAGGTTCAAATGACTCCAAACTCTTATTCTTGCTCCTTTGATGCCAATGGGAGAAAAA